TGGTACCTTTCCGTTTTGCCGGCACAAGTGATAAAGTCGCCAATAATGGTACAACCGATGCCAAACGGAATATCCTCGCTGGTAACCTTTTACGCCTCATTTTCAAAACAAGTCGCAGCTTTTTCTTATCAGATTGATTGTTTCTTTCAATACGGGCATATAATTACATAGAATTTTTATCAGATAGTTCAGTTTTATGTCTAAGGCAATTTTCGGTAATTAAGTCAATTAGGATGCAATCACAGCGCTTACCCGAAGCCGAAAATATAGAAAAGGTAAAGTCAAGGGTTAAATTCATCAATTCTAGAATGCATTAGCGAAGTAAAGCACTGCAGTTTTTGCATAATTTCTCAGTAAGCTATTCGTACGAATTGAAATATTTCTTGCATTTAAACTTGTGTTCCAAATTAAGATTTAACTTGAAATTAATGTAGATAATTACTGAGAGCATTAGATTTTCGTAGAGTAGTTTACGTGAGATGAGATCGCTTGGGGTCACGTGATATGAACCGGCGAATCAGGATGTTGAACCATGAAAGCATAGTAAATTCTTAAATTAATGTCTTTTTACAAATCCATTGTCTTTATTTATTGGCTTTTTATAAAATTTTAAGCGATATTAAAATGTTTTATGCCTTCAAAAAAAAAAAAAAAAAAGAATTCTTAGAACTAACATTTTTTTAAATATTTTTTATGTGTGTACTGTATGTTGTCGCCAATAAAGTCTGCTTGGCGAGATTTGCGCCGGTCAAACGGAAAAGTACCCTTTCATCTAATACCGCAAGATAGGCGGAAGCACATGCAAATGTCTTCTAAACGATATTATTTATTAAAAAAAAATATAAAGGCTTTCAGATTTTATATTACGCCCAAAGGGGCCTTTTTTAGCGTTTTGTGTGCTACATTTATTTATTAAATATCATGCCCTTCGCACTTAAACCATCAAATGGAATTCAGTATCACAAAATAATTTTAAAAGAGCATATCTTTAGAATTTCCGATACAAAGTCTCGTGCGTTGGAGATTACAATTTTTTTTTTTTTTTTTTTTTCGTACAGTGTTGCCATTGCTGGATTTGAAATCGTTGAAGTTGTTAATCAAAAATTCGTTAAAGTTTTACGAAATGTGAAACAGATAATAAAACAAGTTCAAAATTAAAAATTTGGGCTTCCAAGTACCCATATTCGGTTGGAGGAATACGTTAATCAAAATTGGATGGCTCTAAGCACCGTTGTTTTTTCACAGCGCGAGAAACATTCATGCAATCACGCAGATTCTTCATTATTTAGTTTCTTTAAATGTAATGCATGGCGATAATACTTGGTGGCAACAGTTTGAAAAGTGAACCAACGCAGAAAATGGTTTGGTTTGGTTTGGTTTTATTAGATTAAGGCAAAGCACTCGAGGGCTATCTGCCTTAAGGGAGGGATGCCTTCGTGGAGGACTTTTTAAGGGAAACTGGCTCGTATACACGTTACACGCAGAAAATGAAAAACGCAAAATGTCGTTTGAGACTAATAGCCCTTTGGGTCTAACGCCCTTTTAGGCTAAAAATAACATATTTCAGACCTAAGAACTGTTTAAATAAAATAACAGATTAACAATTGTTTAAAAAATAATAGCTGTCAGACGTTGATTTATCGGAATATACGGTATAAAGTTCTCTATTTGTAATAGCAGTGTTTAATATAAATTTTCTTTCCGCTTGTTTTCAGTACTTTGAAAAAAAGAAAGAGGGAGTAAAGGCTAATATGCAAATAAGTTGGCTTGTTTATGATTTATATAATTCGGGTTGAGATCATCACATCCAAAGTTCCTTCTGTTTCCTCTGAATGTTTATGTGTCTACGAAACATTTCCTGTACATTTAAGCTCCCAGTTCATCGGATAGATACGTAATATATTCTAGATAACTAATTCATAAAGAAAATAAATTCATCCACAGAAAATGGGTTTGTTAAATTTTCTGTTTTTCATATCATCTTGTATAAAAACACAATAAAATTATTTGCATTCTCCTAATATGTACTATAACGAATTTAAGGGGATAAATATCTACAAAATTTTTAAATAATTATCTTACATAAAGGTTTCATCTTCTTCTTATATTCGCCATTAAAAACAGTAACATTAGTTATTAATATGCATAACGTTTCTTAAAAAATATGATGCACATTTGTGTACATATGTAACAGGTACATTTTAACCAAACCATTAATGTAACATTCGTATATGTTTTAAACCAAAATCCAAGTGCAATTATACTTAAAACAGATTAAGTGAAATGTTACATATTATGCAATATTTTTAAGTAGAAAACTATTATTGCAAATGTGAATATACTTACATAGATTGTGCTTTGATACCTAAAAGCACTGATATACTGATATATTACCGTATATGGAAATCGATGACCCAAAATTAATCTTCATCCCCTTGGTAAAATAACGTCTAAATGGACAAATGTTCTTGGTTAAACCCAAGAACAAATCAAGGTCAAACCCAAAATGCTGTAACTAAACTAACTAATAAACTGGAAAATAAAAATACCGGGGCTCTATATTTTTTGAGTGGGAGGATTTTTCAAGGGAAACTGGCTCTATACACTTTACACATAGGAAAAACCACGAAAACGCTCATGCAGCCAGTCCGTTCATGGGATTCGAACATCGGACCGAACTACCAGCGCTCACCGACTTTACCGGTCGGCCGCTGTTGGAGCGGACTGATTCAGATACTTTGTTAAAAGGTTACAGTAAGTTAATTTGTAGAGTCATTAGGTTTTTTTTAAAGCAGGAGACACGAAAAATGAGCAATGCCCTCTCCGGGACTCGAACCACGGACCTCTCGAATACGCGCCGAGCTTACTGACCACTACACCAGGAAGGCGTGCTGCAAAGGAAGGAGAAAATACCCTGTATACTTCTCCTTTTAAAGCTCGACATAGGAATTACGGGACCCAATCGCCAAATTCTGGTGGTGAGGAATTATTGTCGGCCACCTTTTAGTTTGGGTTCCACTGAGTCATTAGGTTATTTTGAAGTAGGAAAAGTGAAAATGTGCACACGGTGAAAGGAGGGAGAAAATATCGAATAAATTATTTATAGTATTTAATATTTCTATTTTAAAGATGCGACTTCTTGAGTTCCATGAATCTTGAGAACTTTTTTCCGTTATTCAAAGTTTTTGATTCTTATTTGAGTCCTGGGTACTTTTCCGTCTAGCCGGGGCAAATCTCGCCAAGCAGACTTTATTGGCTACAACATACAGTATACACATAAAAAAATATTTGGTTAATCTTTGAATTATGGTAACTTGGCGATTTTTTGGCGAAAATTTGGCGACCAACCCTGCTACAGCAACCTGCTAGTTTTTTTTTTCTTTTCTTTTTTTTTTTTTTTTTTGGACGCCATTTTGTTTCCACGAAGTACAGGCATTTTTTTTTTTTTTTTTTACTCAAAATTTTTTTCCAACAATCTGCTAGCCGAATTACGCTTATGCTAGAACTTTTATGGAACAAAAGTGCTTAATCATGACGAAGATTAAATGCGAAATTGGGAGAAAGTGCAAAATCGCCCACTGCTTGCCGCGTTTTTCAGAATATCACATACACATAAACCATTTATACGTCGACTTACTTTACTTAAAAAAAATCCCAGAATTGCACAAAAATGGCATTGCGCACACTCTTCACTTTATCCATGTACACTGCTAAAGTCCTAGCTAGTAACCTTTATCGCCTTACTAAAATGTCGCCAAACTACCTGTTACCATATTCCAAAGATTAGACAAAAATTTTAACAAATGTTTGTTCTAAGAATTTTTTATTTTGAAGGCATAAACATTTTAATATCGTTTAAAATTTTGTAAAAAACCAATAAATTAAGACAATAAATTTGTAAAACGATATTAATTTAAGAATTTACTATGCTTACATGACTCAACATCCTTATTCGCCTTTTCATATCACCTGATCCCGAGTGATCTCATCTCACGTAAACTACGCTACAAAAATCTAATTCTCTCAGTAATTATCTACATTCATTTCAAGTTAAATCTTAATTTGGAAGACAAGTTTAAATGCAAAAATTATTTCAATTCGTACGAATAGCTCACTCAGAAATTATGTAAAACTGCGGTGCTTTACTTCGCAAGTGCATTCTCATTAGAATGGATGAATTTAACTTTTGATTTTGCCTTTTCTATATTTTCGCCTTCGGGTGAGCGGTGTGATTGCACCCTAATTGACGTAATTACTGCGAATGGTCTTAGGGCATAGAATTTAATTATCTTTGTAAATATTCTACGTAATTGTATGACAGCATTGAAAGAAACAATCAATCTGTTAAGAAATGGCTGCGACTTGTTTTGAAAATGAGGCGTAAAAGGTTACCAGCGAGGATATTACGTTTGGCGTCAGTTGCACCATTATTGGCGACTTTAGCGCCAGCAAAACGGAAAATTACCGAATCCTGTTAAACATTTTAAACTCAAAACTTGGGAATGATTAGTTTTCTTAATATCTAACCGAAGTAGTCATTAAAAGAACACTTCAAAATTGCGATTTCTTTGGATTTGGATCACCGGGATCTTCTCGTGGTAACTTTGAATGCCACACGTGTAATTTTCTGTAGAGAATTTAATATTTCATATTTGGATTTGTCACCACGCTACGTTCATTATGATTTAGAAAGCATTGAAATAATACTCGATTATTTTTTGCCGATCATGCTGCATGGAAATAAATCCCAAAACTCAAGAGCTTCAATGAACAACTTCGTTCACTAAATTTCTTCTGGAATTCTGGAGACCTGAGATGTGATTTGGTAGGTTCGAAAATTTCTTAAAATTGGTTTCGAGAAAGTTTTAAATTAATTGCCTATGTAGTTTTTTTCATTGCCACGCGCTTGCAAAAAGTTGCTTAAAATTTATCATGATTGTTTTCAGATTGTTAAAGTGCTGAACGTTTAAAATAAAAATGCTAGAACTAAAAACACTTACCTAAAAGCAATAAAACTGGCCACCCTAGCATCGTCGTAAGATTCCTTTTGAATCCTTCCGAGGCCCTAATAAAAAAATAAAAAATAAAAAAAAAGAATTAAAAACATAACTGCACGTTATATATTATAAAGAGCTTTTTTTAACTGATTACCAATTTAAAGCATATTAACTTTCTTAAACGGTATATTTATGAAACAATTATTAATATTACCGTAAACTAACTCTATTATAGGTCATAGTGCTAACGTTACTTTCGAGCATGCTATGTTAATGGGTGATAAATTACTTTATTACATTTGTTCTTGTTAATTTTCTGCACAGATAAAACTATAAGTAGATGCATTTATATTTATTATTTTATATGCATTTATATTTATTATTTTATATATGTAATATAATATTCAGGACCGCTCTATGTGAGGAAAGTAAGATTCATTGACGTCAGATATGACGACATGCTATTGTATCACATGAATTTAACAACATTAAAGTTTTATAAACTGTATTCACAGAAATGAATAAACATATGTAAATTGACTAATAATTAAATCTCATAAAGTGTTTTAATAGACTGAATTTTGAATTTTTCAATAAAAATTAAATGCATATTCCCAGAAAGAAACTGAAAATTGGCAGTATACTTCGTAACTTACGAGTATCAAAACAAAATTTCTGTCGGGCAACTAAAAAAATTAGGTATTCTTCATTTCGTCATGGTATATTTTAATGAGATACACAATTATCTGTTTCCTTTACTTATTACGATGTGACTCTATATTAAATATACCTTATTATCAAACAAATTCTTAAAATTCGAGACGTTACATTAATTTTAGGCTATTTGAGTTGAAATCAATTAATTAATAAAAATTAACTTATGACACATCAATGAAGTATCCATTTGTCTAATATAACATTTCTTTGAAGAACAGAGTAGTCCATTTGACAGTAACAAAATGTACAAAGCACATTATACCATTTGTATCTTTGATGATTAGCAAAGATTATTTACAGCATAAAATATATTATTCATATCTAGTAGCTCAGTTAATAATAAATTTTCAAAGAGTTCAGAATTTTCAACAGCTGAAATCTTTTTCAATCAGCGGAAATGATAATAAGCATTGAAGTGAGCTGCAGTGTTTACATATATGCAGTGGATTTTTCTTGGAACATTACGGCAGACGATCTTGTTCTTTTAGCATAATCATTTCAATTATCGCAACAGATGTGGTATTATTAGAATTCCAATTGTATTTAGAGAGGAGAATTTCAGTAAATTATTTACGATGTATTGTAATTAGACGTTTATATCAACCTGGTGTTTAAATTGTAATTAGACGTTATATCGCCATATGACTTTTATGCCATTGCTGTAGAAGACTCTGGTTTTGATGCAAAAAAAATCTTGAAGTTCTTTGTGTACATCCTGTTTAGAATTTATTCCCAGTAAAAAGTTTTGTGAGGCACGAAATGAGTGAAAATTCACTTGGGGCAATATCTGGGGAGTAAGCAGGATGTGGCAAAAAGCTCCCAATTAACTTCACTCAATTATTGCAGCGTTGTTCGAGCCGTATGCGGTCTAGCGTTATCACGATGAAACAACACTTTCTGGATATTTCACCAATCGTGGGCGTTTTGTGATCCATTCTGAGTTTAGACAGCAAAGTTGTTCACTATAAACTTCTGAATGAATAGTTTGATTTGGTTCTAACAGTTCAAAACTTCCTGAACGGGATTCATCATGAATGCTGCTTTTTCCAACTTTAAATTTGATAAACCAAACCATTTCTGGACAGTCTTTATACCAATAGTGTGTTCACCATGTGCACTCTCAATTTTTATCGCTACAAACCTGGCAGATTCACCAAAAAATGTAGCACGTTTTTATTCATTATCTATATTCATTTTCTATGGGTACTAAAATGCGTTCGATATTTACGAAATTTGGTGGTGAACTGAATAACATGTTAGTCAAACGACGACACGTTTCAACAGGCTCAAAATTGTATTGTTTTAGTAAATGCGTCACAGTGAATTCCACGCATGCTCTTAATGTGCACGAACTTATGGACTGACCTAGTATGAAATGAAATAAAAGTTTAAATTTGATAGAAGTCCAATACCTTCTTTATAATAGTTCCTGTAAGATACAAACAAGCTTATTATTCCCAGTGAATTTATAAAAGCTCCATAATTTTCAATTGTATATTGCGCATATGTATGAACAAAAATGAGATTTCCAGAAGTCAGAGGATTTTCCTCAAAATATGATGTCTCATTATTCTTAAAAGTTGAAAGTTTGGATATACTAAAATAAAAGACCGGATGTACCGGATTTTGCAGCAAATTCAATATTTATTCTGTTATGCTTTCCTTTTATTTATCCCTTAGAGAAAGGAGCAAAATGTTCTTAAAAAACAAACACTAGAAGCTCGTTTATTCGAAATAAATATTAAGATATTTCGGCAAAATATTTTTTGTCAAATAACTCAGGTTCAAGCATTTTCTTGTTAAAAAGTTGAAATGGCTGTTTTTTACCTTGTAATTCACACGAAGAAATAAAGAATCGTTCTTTGTGGAAAAAATAAAGAACCGTTCTTTGTAGTAGCCAAAAGTTTACTAGAGAGTTGCTATAAATTATTTTAGTAATTTCTAGAAATCATTCATACTCTCGTTTTTAATAGTTATTCCGTTTTTTAGAAATTTTTGAAAACAGAGCGAATTTTAATTTGTATCATTATCAATGAAGGTATTTACTTACAATTCATTACATAAATAGAGATTTCGTACTATTTTTCCATACAAATGTACTACGATCATTTGTTTACATTATGAAATATCATTAACTATTGAAGACCGAAAATGGGGGGGAGGGAGAAAATTTCAAAGCTTTCAGATTTGATATTATGCTCAAAAGGGCATTTTTTAAGGTTTTGTGTGTTACCTTTATTTATTGAATATCATGTTCCTCGCACTTAAACCACAAAAAATTCAATTCAACAGCAATATCACGAAATATTAAAAAACAGCATATCTTTAGAATTTCCGATACGCAGTCTCGTGCGTTGGAGATAAAAGTGTTTTTTCTCGTACAGTGTTGGTTGCCATTGCTCGCTTTGAAATCGTTGAGTTTGTTAATCAAAAATTCGTTAAAGTTTTACAAAATAGGAAATAGATAATAAAACAAATTCCAAATTAGGGCTCCCAGATTCAGTGGACTATTACGTTATTCAAAATTGGATGGCTCTAGGCACCGTTGTTTCATCATAATGCGAGAAACATACATACATTTATGCAGATTCTTCATTATTTAATTTAAATATAACACAGGGCGATACTATTTGGTGGCAACAAGTTGTAAAGTGAACCAACATTTATAATGAATCAACGCAAAATGCCAAAGCGAAATTAATAGCCCTTCTGGGCTGATGCCTTTTGGGCTAGTAATTTTCTTGTTTAAAAACCAATTAAATTACATGTTATTACCTATTACGCGTATAACATTCAACTGTTACATATTATTACATGTTAAATTAAGTGTTACAACTGCCCAATAAAATACAGTTTTTAATAATAAAAAAAGTAGAGGGTCAAACATTTATTTATCTCGGTATAAATTTAGATTAATCCGTTTTTACATATGGCTAATTAGACCTAATAAAATATAATCCAAAATTTAGTCTTACAGACTTTTCTATTTATAGGAACAATAAATTACTAGATTTTGTTTACAAACGATCAACCGGTTGTAATACATAAAAGATCGTTGTTATTTAAGATATGGAATTTTCAGGAAGTCATGTTGTAGTGTTGCGCGGCCCCAACTTGTCAGCAACTATGGTAGTGACTGCTATGAACTGTAAATTACACAAACTCATAAGAAGGGTTTAAATCCCTTTTTATTCCACTTTAGAAATAACAGCTGCGTTCACTTGACGCTCACAAACTACGCCGACCCGGCGGTTCAACAAAAACAGAACTGTGAAACTAAAAATTAATGACAGGATGACTAAACAACTAGATCACTACCTACGAGGCTCTGAAATCGTAACTAACTTAACCGCGCTCTAAAAAACAGCTGAGATTCAGCAAGCTTACTGATTAAGCAGTTGAAAGATTCAACGAACTGCCGAGATAGGCACACAGGCCGAAACGCGCGGTTCTTAAATTTCTACCTAGCAACCTTCACGTTAGCGATTCAAGAAGCACACATACAATCTCGTTTCCCTTCTATTTAAACTCAACTTACTTCTGCTAAAATTCGAATATACTGCGCGTTCTACTACAATTTACGTACTCTGGTATTGGCAATTCTAGGGGAAAGTAAAGGCTTGACAGGAAAGATAGCTTAAAATAAATGTTAGTTAAAATAAATATAAACCCTACAATGTGTTGACCATATTAGTTTTATTTCACTATTATTTCTAAATCCAAAGCAATGTACCACGATTCTTCTAATTATTTATAAAGGCTTTAAAGTTAATTATTTTTATTAAAATTTTAATTTTTATAAAAAATCTATAAAATGCAGGGAAAATTTATGATATTCTATGAACTTTTAATTATTGGAAATTTACTACTGAGCACACTTTTCCATAATTTGCAATAAAGATTAAAATTCGGGAACACTTACTTTAAAATTATGTTTTTCTCTATTCCACAAACGACAAAATAGACGTGATCACCAAATTCCACAAAGCAGCGTCCTTTCCAACAAAATCCCAGCTTCACGGTAGTAAGCAAAGAATGGAATCACAATAGAGCAAGCTACCTTGATTTCTATGTACCTGCCAGAAAAATGCAACTTTCCCTCATATCTAACGGGGTTAAATACTGAATAGATCACGTGATTTACCGACACCCACACGCGGGGGACGATACAATCCCTTTGAAGTAAAGTAGGTCTATGCGATCAGCTTGCAAGCAGACGATAGTTTTGGTAACATCTATTTCAGGTTTCATTCTAATTGCAAAGCTGTTTACTTGAAGGATGACCCTTCATTTATCTTTCATATGACGTGTGAAAGTGTCAAAAAAGATGACAATGATAGGATTTGTGATGTAAATTCACCTAAGAATGAACATTCTATTGGCTTCTTTTTTAGTGGTTTTATGTCCTTGAAATAAACAGCCGTAGCGTAATGAATATATGAATTAATGCAAAATTCATAGAAATAACAACCGTATATGACATGGAGAAAAATTCTAGGATGTATGCCAATTAAAATAATGCTGTCTATTTGAAAGTATTAATTATAAATCAAAGATTGTCATTTTTACTGAATTATTTTGCTTTGAAAAGTGGTTCAGAGAAAATACAAAAAGGTATTTTTCCCTCATTTTATTTTTTAAATACTGGTAACAGTCTTTACGTATCATCTCAATAATAACATTATTAAACATTTTACTGGAAAAGGAAAATTGTCAAAAATGAAATTCTGGCATTTTAAATCTTCAAGTTTTCAAAAAAGTGTACTTTCTGGTGAAAAGGTTCAAAATATCCATTTTTAATCAATGGTCTTTATATCTATTAGTGAAGAAGAATTCTTAAAATAAAAGCGCAGTTAACTAATGAAGCATAACAAAATTGTACGAAATCAGGTGAAGTCCCGACAATTTATTTAAACTTTTTTAATAAATTATAAGAATGAATTTAGGAAGAAACTTTTATTTCTGATTAGTCCTTAAATTTTGTGCTTAATAAAGTAATAATAAATGAATCTGAATAATAAAAATTTAAAAAAAAAATGTCTGAAACTTTCAGATTTTATATTCCGTCCAAAGTGTTGTTTTTCAACGTTTTATGCGTTACCTTTATTTATTAAATATCATGGTCTTCGCGACTTCGCACTTAAACCATAAAATTCATTTCAACAGAAATTTTGCAAAATAATTTAAAAAGAGCATACCTTTATAATTTCCTATACACACTGCCGCGTTAATTGTCTTTGCTTCAATTATGTCTTTGCTTCAATCCTTGACCTCGGCCCATCCTACTAATTTATTAATATTTGATATTAAATGTCTATTGAAATTTTTGATGCAGAATATGTGCATTCATTTACACTGGATAAAAGCCCATGTTGGCTTTGTTGGAAATGAAAGGGCCGACGTGCTGGCTAAAGAGGCGACCACTAATGATGATTGTGAATATAATAGAAATTTCTGGTTCGAGAAGTTATGCAATTAGAAACATGAAAAATTTTTATGATAATATTTGGAATACTAGATGGAATGAATCAGAGAGGTGCGTGGGTCTTTTGAAGTCTATTAAAATTCAAAATGGTATGCGACCAATTAGTAATATTGATTTAAACCAGTTTTTAACTGGGCATGGAAGATTTCCCGCGTACCTCTCGAGATTTAATTTACAAAATTCAGACTTGTGTGGTCATTGCCATCAAGTTGGTAACGCAGATCACTTCTTGAATCATTGTTCCTTATTGGAAAATTTGAGAAAGAAATGTTTGGGAGATAAGTCATGGAACTTGAAAAATCTTAAAAAACATATTCTAAATGTGCAATGGATTTGATTAATTCTAATAGAGTTGAATTTGGAATATTTGTTTAGTATTGTGTATATTTATCTTTTGATTATATGTATTATATTCTCAGTTATGAGTATTTATAGGTTTACTACGAAAATTTTGAAATTTTTCTGTGTACGTGTTTATTTAATGCATTGTGGATGTTTTGTGTACATGCGGTATTTCGAGGAAATGCAGTTGATTGTTACATGGATATGGCCTTGCAAATGTTGAGAATCCTGATGGATTACCAGATTTAAATTATTGAAATTAATGGTGGTTTTGAGTTTTAGGATTTTGATTTTTAAATTTTAAATTTTATGGAATTTTTATATTTTTCTTAAATTTTTAATTGTAGTTTTTGATTTTAAAATGTTCTGAAATTTTAAAGTTTTAAAATTTTTCTTATATTCTGTTCTTAATGGAGTAATTACTAAAGTTTAAATATGATACATGGCAATCTTAAATTTTTCCAGTTTTGGTTATTGGCAGTCCTGGAGCTTCTTTTCTATGATTATTAAGGATAATTAATACATTTGAATTCAGATAGTAGTCGGACTATTAAAGTAATTAAAAAAAAAAAATGAAATGTTTCAGATTTTAAATTACGTCCAAAGGGGGTTTTAAATTTTGTGTGTTACCTTTCTTTATTAAATATCATGTTCCTCGCACTTAAACCATAAGATCCAGTGCAACAGCAATATCGCAAATAGTTTTAAAACGAGCCTATCTTTAGAATTTCCGATACAGAGACTCACGCGCTGGAGATAAAAATGTTTTTCTGCACAACGTTGCCATTGCGCTTTGAAACCCTTGAGTTTGTTAATCAAAAATTCGTCAAAGTTTTAAAAATAGGAAATCGATCATAAAACAAATTTCAAATTTCAAATTTGGTCTTCCACATGCTCTATTCGTGGAGGATTACGTTATTCAAAATTCGATGACTCTTGTACCGTTATTTTATGACAATGTGAGAAATATACATACAAATTTACGCAGATTTTCATTATTTAATTCTTCAAATATAATGCAGAGACTTAACATTTATGGCAACAGTTTGAAAAGTGAACCGACATTTATCCGTCCGACGCAAAATGCCAAAACGAAACTAATAGTCCTTCGGGATTCAAACCCTTTGGACTAATAAATTAATAGTTTAAATAGAATTATGATTATACAAATAATATGCTATTAAAGTAATAATGTAGAGAATTCGGTTTGACCTTGCAGGTTATTTAAATTGGGAATTCCTGGATGGCTTTGGACTGCCGTGCCTGTTCCGAAATTTATGTGAATGAATGTTTCTGAGAGTTTCGGCACTCTGTTTACCCGTGGGGTTTTATTGTTTTGGATTTTTGAATGTTTGGTGTTGTGCTTCGTTGTTTGTATGTCTCTTCCTTATTTTTAGTTCGTTAATTACCTCCAATTATTTTTAGTTAATTAGCTTTTTTTTCTCTCTTCTTTCTTTTTGTGGTCTTGAGGGGGTCGACCCTTTATAATCGTATGGTCCAGTGGGACTAGGAGGATTGGGTCTTCCCCGTATTATGACACAGTGTCGCGTGCTGGAGATAAAAATCCTTTTTTTCTTTTTTTCGTATAGTGTTGCCATCGCTCGTTTTGAAATCGTTGAGTTTCTTAATCAAAAACTCATAAATGCTTTATAAAATATGAAATAGATAATAAAATAAATTCTTAACCCCAAATTTGGGCTTCCAGATGCCCATATTTGGGTGGACATGTACGCTATTTACAATTTAATTGGTCTAGCTGTTCTATCGTAACGCGAGAAACATACATACATTTATGCAGATTCTTCATTGTTTAATTTCTTTAAATATAATACAGGGCTCTAATATTTGGTGGCAATAATTTAAAAAGTGATTTGCCATTTATAGTGAATTAACGCAAAATTCCAAAACGAAATTAATAGTTCATCTGGGCAATTACTCCCTTGGGCTGATAATTTGAAATTTTGTCATTTGAAATAATTGACATTTATATAATAATAATATTAATAATTAATGAATATTATAATTAGTTATATTGATGTTATAATTCACACTATTAACATGGTAGGGTCATTAAGCATTTATAATGCTGGAGATGGAAGAAATGAACAATGCTGTCGCCGGGACTCGAACCTGGACCTCTCGAATAGGCGCCGAGTGTGCTACCCGTTACAGCACGAAGGAATGCAGGTGGGAAGAAATGCCTTATAGTATTATAATTGACAATACATTTGAAATAATTGACTTCTTAAGTAATTCTTACATAATACTTATACTTACTTATACGTATTATACCAGGTGGCCATAATTAAACTGAGAGTGCTCACAGTGTTCTGTAGCGCGATCTATTTGCGAGAATGACGCCACATTTTGTAGGAAGATTAAACAAGACGGGGGACGAAGGATTCCGCGAAAAAAAAAATAGTTCCAAAAGTCACCGCTAGGGGAATATTTGGCGCTGTTGTGTAATAGAAAATAGAGTGTTAACAAATGCAAATTAATCCAGAATAAAATTACCTTTTATTATGGATATGCCTTATGGGGAGACGAGGCCCACTTTCACCTGAATGGAACTGTGAATACCCAGAACTGCTGAATTTGGGTATGACAAAATCAACCACATGCAGTCACAGCAATTCCTTACATTCACCAAAGGTAACTGTTTGGTGTTTGTTCACAGCGGAATTTATCTCGTAGGTCCCTTCTTCTATGAGAACATTACCTCGACAGGACCGGAAACCTGTTCTGTTACCGGAGAGAAATATCGCTACATGTTGAACAGCTTTGTCATTCCGGCACTTCAACAAAGACAATGCCTATGGGAAATCATTTTCATGCAAGATGGAGCCTCTCCACACGTTGCAGTACGGGTGCAACAGATGCTACGACAGAAATTCACAACAGAGAGAGTCCATTAGCCGCTACTTTCCAACGCATGGACCACCTCGGTCGCCTGATCTTACCACATGTGACTTCTGGTTATGGAGTTACCTTAAGTCCAAGGTCTATCAAGGAATGGTTCCAGGACCTGGCTACGTTGAAGGATAACATATCACGGACTGTACGGGAGTTCCTGCAGACATGTTACTTTCTGCTGTTGTGCATACTGTACACAGAATGCAATATGTGGTCCACAACAACGGCAGCCACATTGAACCTCATTTGAATGCAAAATAAAAGGTAATTTCCGTATTGATTTGCACTTGTTAACACTCTATTTTATATTACACAGCGCCAAATATTCCCCTAGTGGTAACTTTTGGAACTAATTT